TCAGTATGCTCTTAAACAATATTTCTATGCTATATGTTAATATCTTATTAAAATTGCATGTATTTGAAGTTCAGAAAATTCTGATTTCACTCAAGAAATTAGTTCAGGAGTAGCTTAGAGGTTAAATATGAGGTGCCCTTGAGCAGGGCATTAAGTTTACAAACTGCTCCAGCAGAACTATTCATTGGCCAACAGAAGGAGACTGTGGTTGTCCTTTGTGCCTTTACAGAAAAGAAAACAATTCAGCACCTTTTACTGCAATTCTGAAACTTTTTGTTACTCTTTACCACAGGTTCAGTCTCTATATGTTTGGCAGCTCTCTTTGGGGGCCTGAAGAACCATATGACTTATGTCTTTACAAATGATGAGTGAGTATATCTTTAACATACGTTTTTGTAACCAAAACTGAAAAAGTGAACTGAAAAAGTTTTTTTCTCAGTGTTTTATGTTAACACGTGTGGATTACATGTTCTTTTGAATATTAACTTGAGGTAGGCTAAATGTTCCTCACAGTTGTCCTCAGTTATGCTGTGTAGCATCACTGTGATTAACGGCAATTTACTGATTCCTCTTTGGTCAATGTTACTAGGAGATTAGAATATGTACAGTTCTCAAATACAACACACACAAATCAAACGATGAGAATGTATTTTCTTATGTCACCTCTCCTACAGTGTCAAATTGTAAATTTTATGTCGCTCTTCTTTCAGACAAATCAGGCATAGGGCTGCTGATGTTATAACTTTTTTTGCTCCAATCATCCTTCTAGATGCAATATCAGTAAGTAAAGCTTCCATTTCATCCAAACAAGATCTCATGATGTTCCCATAAATATTATTGCATTAATTTTTTGTTGAATCTTTTTTCTGTATTCATGATTAGATTACCTCAAGTGGCATTGTAAGAGGAGCAGGTAAACAGAAAATCGGGGCTGTTTGCAGCATTGTGGGATATTATGGAATTGGTTTTCCTACTGGAGTGTCGCTGATGTTTGCAGCCAAATTAGGAATCATAGGTAAGATTTACAGCAGAGATGAATTTTAGCCTTCAGCTGTTTTTTTCAACATTGTTGCCTAACTAGTAAGTTTTAAGTTTTGTGTCCAGTGTCTTTTTAAGTAATCGATCCACCACTGTATCACCATCTTCTTGCTACTCTTAATGGGGCCACCTGTAGTTTTCAGTGGCCTCTAGTTTTGAGGTTTCAGATTGCAACCACTACGAGTGAGCAGTCAGCGTTGGTCAAAACCAAACAGGGACATAACAAGAGGCCAGACACAAAATGCTGCTGAATACTGCAACATTACACTATTATTTTCATCAGCTTTAAGTTGAACTAATCCATATTCATAGGATAGAGGATGTCTCTTACATACCTATATATATTAGATATTTAACAGCAGCAGGCCAACTGATCTGCCACTTAACATCATAATGCGCAAAACCCAACACAACAGTAGATCTACATTATTGGCCTAATATCGGTTCACACACAGGATTATCGCTGTAATAAGAGATGCACACATTACATTTTTCCTGGCTATTTCAAGTTAATGATTTTTTTAAAAGGTCTGACCTGCAGATTCTAATTTTCAGATTTTTTTTTATTAATTTCCGATTCTGATTTTTTTCTTCTAAGAACTATAACTGACAGCATACACAAACATTTTTGTAACTATTAATTGGAAAAAATTTATTAGGATCCCCATCAGCACCAGTATAGATGTTAGCTATTCTCACTGGGGGCTTGTGTGAGACATTTTGAAGGGCAGGGGCTCAAGTGAAAAATAGGGCACTTCTCACATTATTTTTTTAACCAAATGTTAAATATATTAATACAACTCTGACTTTCTTATTTGAATTCCCTCACACTCGCGCAGTTGTTTCATTCAAAATAATCAGTTCACACAGAGACTATAGTCTTATCACAAGAGAAGGCAACAGCAAAGGAAACTGTCACAATGTGCATGTTTTATATGTTACTAGCTTCAAGTGTATATTTAGAATAAATAACTGCACAAAGGAGAGGGACATTAAAATGAATTGTTTAAATACTCTTTGTTTCACAAGCAAGATATCCTTCAGCTTCATGCAGGCAAGCAACTGAATATTGAATTGCCTAAATATATTAAAATATTGATCAAATGCAATATTATTATTATTATTGCTATTATAATTACACTTTCCAGGCACGCGCACACACACACAATATCTGATGGTGACAAGGAATTAGTTTTACATTTGAAAGAGGGCTGTCTGTATCATATAAAGATCTATCAGCAAACAACAAACTAATAGAATGTATGTAGTTATTAGATGAGGAGCCTACGATCAAAATTATGAAACTACTGTTTAAGGCAGGAGACTTTTTTCATATAGTGATTCATTTTGAGATTTTTATCAATTTTGCTTCCATGTCTTCTTTTACTCTAATGGAAAGAAGACTTCCAAAATACACATTTATATGGTGTTTGTGGTAAGCCTACTACCCGCCTGTGTGCATCTGTATCAAATTAGTGTATTTTCATTTGTTAACACCTAATTTGCATCCATGTGGCAATTTTGATGACATTACTAGACACAAATTTTACTGTATTCATCTGTAGTGTCTCCTTTAAGTACAGTACATAGCCTGTATGATGATATAGACTTTGCTAAAGTTGAGCCAACTTATTTACATTAGCTGAGTAGCTCATGGAGTCATGCATGTTAGCAAATTGTCTTTTGCAACTGACAAGTCTCATGTCTGACCTGATATTTAGATTTTTGTTCAATAAATATAAGAGTAGTATTCATTTCAAAAAATAAAAAAAGCACCCCTGAAAAGGGGCTTTCTCTGGAGGAAGAAAAACGGCAGGTGCTTGTGCAGTGCCTGCATAGGAGGCAGCGTACAGGTCGTCAAAGGAAACTGGGAAACCCAGCAAATGGTTTACTTTTTATGTGTGTTACAACCTGTTCACAAAGAAATAGCAACATAAGTGATTCATTTCAATTAAAACTACATGTAGCCCTTTAAAAGCAAGATGTAAACTCTTTATTTTCTACAGGTTTGGGATAGGCTTGTTACCTGTGTGGCTCTACAGTCCTCATTCCTTATTTTCTACCTTGTAAAATGAACTGGAAAAAAGCTACGGACGAGGTAAGTATTCAGAGGCAAATCTTCCAATTCTTAATGGCCCCACTCATCTTGATGAATTCACGTTTACATATTGTTTTTCTTCCAGGCTCAACTCAGAGCGGGTGTGGGGAAATCCACCGATGCAAGTAAGAGATTGTGTAACAACTAAAGCATTTTATACTGCTAGAGAAAATTATACAGTTTAGCACAGGAAATGATAAATTCTTCTCTCAGGGACAGTTTAGACTGTGATAAATGTAGATTAATGTGGTACATGAAAAATTATACACGTGGCACCTTTTAAGTCTATGCAAAAGCTAAATATCATTGGGAAGCTCTTCCTTGTTTTTAGAATTCATAGTATACTGTACATTACTTCTGTATTTAATGCAATGTCAGCAGGATTCTGAATGAGGTTTTCTCACTGCTGAAACAGAAGATTGCAATTTAACTTTATCTCTATTAAAGTATAAACTAACATAGCTTCAATGCGTTAACTTACAACAGATACTCAAAGATTACTTTAATGTGAATAACAAATAAAAAAAACACGTCAGCTAGAATCTTTGTTTAATATATTTCAGCAAAAACACTGTCATATGTTGCTTTGATGTCCAGGTTCCCAACCAGATGATCCAGAAACTCACAGGTCAACAGACACAATTAAAGAAGAGTTCTCTTACAAGAATGTGGTTCTGCGTAGGGGCCTGGCTCTGGCTATCATGCTATTCATCCTGGCTGCTGGAATCATTGTCCTGTTGATATCTCTAACTTGGTTACATGAACATGAGCTAGGTCTGTGATATGATGTGAGGTAACTCCTTAGCCACAAGTGCACAACATGATGCAGATGTTGGACAGCATATGTTACAGAAGTATGAATTACACATTCATTCACAAGATTTTCCAGTGAATCGGCCAGTGTTTTGCCAAAGTAGACAGATTTTGACAATCTTTGTGTTTAATACATACGAAACATTGTGGTTATCATGGACTGTCATGGTCAACCTGAATCTTCATTTGGACCTATTCGCGTCATTTGTTGATAAATTTGCTGCAGATTTAC